TTTTCAGGCTTACTAGTGAAGTGCCTTCTGTGAGTTTAGTAGGCGTACATGTTACAGGGTCAGCGAGTTTTCTGGCGCAACTAGCTATGAAGCGATCTGATGAGTTGTGGGTCAGCCCGAGTTGATGAGAACCTAAGCTCAAGCGCACGAAAAGAGTGACTGAAGTTCCAATCAACTCACTGCATAACACAGCCATCTTCCTCTGAACAAGACGCTAATTATGTAAGCGCTGAGGTTTTCACGGCGGTCACTATGAAGAATGCCGTATTCTAGGATGTGGCGCCGTGTAGATCGTGTGTTAACCGACATTTCGGAGGAACGTATTGCTTCCATCTTCAAGGTATAAGATATCCTCGAGCGATAAACCAGCGTTTGCGATTAACAAAATATCTACACGGCGCCAAATTCCAGAAGACATTCTTCAAGACTCCAATTAATAGACTGTCATATTTTGTTCGTCCCCGACTCCCGTTTGATTAAAATACCGTATTTGTAATGATGGTTCCAACATTGCCCTTCTGTGTACAAGAAAGGGGAGAGCTCAGTCGGCATAGCGACCGGTTGCTTTGCCGAGGAATTAGCATCGTCCTCGCAGGTTGTGGGGCCCAAACTGTGTCACATCGAATGAGGTAGCAGCGGCACTTTCCCCGGAGTCACGCAACTCCGTCTAGTGTCTAGGATGAGCATACGTGGATCTGTACATTCACTTCTCAGTACGCCTTCATGATGTAGTGCTTAATTAATTAAGCAAAGAGAGAAGCACGCCGTCACCATATTTGCGTTCCATCACACCTACATCTTCCCAAGAGGTTTCAAACTAAAATAGTATACGCGTTCTTGTTCTCCCATTCGTGCTATATAGTCCTCCCGTCAGAGTCTTTTTGACAGAATCACCGGATCAGTCCACCATCTAGAATGCAATGTATGGAGCTTCTTGACTTGTGTATTATGTCACTGACGCGAACTCTGCACAGTATACTATAATGGTTGAGCTTCTTCGTATTTAACGACATTGATTCAACACTCGAGATTATATGGCGTTGAATGAGATGGACTGATTATGACTTATGAGTAACACGTAACCTGAGGGCGCGCCATAGTTCAAGCGGTTAGTCGCTAGTTTCCCACCGCTGCGGTCCGGGTTCGATCCCAGGTCTGGTCAAGTGCGATTTGTGGTGGATAAAGTGGCGCTGGGGCGGGTTTTCTCCGAGTGCTTCGGTTTCCCGTGCCAATCTTCATTCCACCAAATTCTCCATCATCATAATCACCCGGGGCAGGCTACAATAGGCCAATCAGTGGCCGCCGTGCCGAGCGGACCCGGTTAGACTCCACCCCCCACTAAGCGAATTAAAAAAACACGTATCCTGCATCACAACTACCAGTGAAGCATGGGGACGTTCACGCCGAAATGCAACATAGTAAAGTCTAATTAGGGACTGGCAATTTGATTCCTCTATCCTGTCATCCGCTTGGAGAGACTGAGTAGAACCACGAGTGACCTCAGTGCTGGACCGACATAGCTCACCAGCTCGGTGATGTATCGCACAAGAGCGTACACAGCCCCTCCATATTTCTGTTTGATCGTGAGAGCCCACTGTAATTTTATTTAGGACTGCGCTCTCAAAGAGGTGACCACGAGGGGTACTATCATCTGGAACCTGACGCCATGTCTTGTTGTAGCGTTTCGCGGGAACATACTGCCACTGTCTTCAGGATCTGAGATATGCTAAGCAAGCAGTGGGGAAGAAGAGGAGCAGCGGGCTGAGTGATGTCCCAATTTGGGACAAAAACAACGAACTTGTAGATCTCCCGATGTACGAGTAAACAAATAGTTTATTCAAAATAATGGCCTGCACTGACTGATCTTGTGTCCGGCTATTGATACGGTCTCCAGCCCCCTCCTGTACCCCCTGTCTGACGCCGCAAGGTCGGCCTGGATTGAGCGCAGCACGGAAACATAACATTGCAACCTCTGGCGGCAGCTTTCCCCCCGACCAGAATCTTGCGTCGTCCCGTGCAGGACAAGTTCCTCTCTGGTTCTGTAGTCCTCTCTGAACGGGTAAACCGACAGTTCTTCTCTGAAGGATCGTGGCCCTGTGATCGGTTCACATTACACTGACAGCTTCTGGGGATGCAGCATGGGTCTGTTGATTACTATGCTACAAGCCGAGCGGCCTCCGTAGTCTAGGGGTAACGTTCCCACCTCATGACTTAAGGTACGCGGGTTCAAACCCGGCGGAGGTCGTGGAATTTTTAATGGCGGAAAAATTCAGGGAACAAGTCCTCCGGGAGGGAGATTTACAGCACGTAAAAGATCCTCATGTCTCTAAGAGACCTCTGAGCAAAAGTAGGCAAAAGTTTCCCACACAAGTAGTTCCCAATGCCTCCGGTAGGTGGGGAAGTATCGGGAACCACTGCCAGCTTCGCTGGCTGAACGGGGCTGATAGCGAGCACCAATACCGGCAGGGTATGGCGACTGGTAGAATATCAAAGGGGGACGTACAGTAGACTATTAGTCGCTGTGCATGGGGAAACCCACCCCCTCCAATAATAATAATAATAATAATAATGCTACAAGCCGGAAGGTCGCGGTTTCGGTTTCATTTTTCAATCGACCTAATCCTTCCGGCCGCACTATGACCCTGGGGTCGACTCAGCCTAGTGGTCCGTAAAGTTGACAACATCACCGCCATCTGTGAGTCAGTTGTCTAGAAAATGTGGGAGCCTACACGTCTCACAAACCTATGGGCCTCCAAGACCTGTTACAGGGCTAGCTCTATCTTTCTTACTTTACCACGTCAACCACTATACCAGTGGTTCTCAACCTATGGGTTTCGACCCAAAATTTCCCACTGCCAAAACCCACAACCTCTGAACATTTGTTCACAGTAGCTTACTGTATATTTTTATGAATAAATGTACACGGATCCAGTCGGAATGAATCCCTATACAGAATGTGCTGATGCAGTTTTGGTGTCGAAGCCGAGGCATCAAGTCCAGTGGCTCTGAAGGGACCCAAAATTCGGTAGCGTCAAACACTCAGATGGGTCGTAATACACGAGCCGTGCGGGGAACTTGTCGGAAGGAACTCACACCCGAAATCTTTGTCGTGCAGATACTTTGAGTGATGTAGTCTGGTCAAGCGGATTTTTTCTTGGTAACCAACAATATAGCTGCATTCTTGCGTTTATTAACAATTGCAAAAATGGTCCTCATAGGTTCTATTTTACTGTTCATTGTTGCTGTATTTGCTTTTCTTAGTTACTCCATATTTGTTTTCCCTATCCCAGAGTACCCAAGAGTTAATGTTATAGCCCGTGCCCCTTTCTCAGGACCATTTCTTCATCAATGACTCTACATCCCTTTGTTGACCCCTGGTCAGTTTCGTTATCTTATACGCAGTCGGTAGGACTCTTAACCCTGTCGCAAGGCCTCTACCTACACAGGACAACACAATCACAAACTAAACTCACACAGATATCCATATCTCAAGTGGGATTCCAACCCACGATCCCGGAGTTCGAGCGGGCGAAGACAGTTCATGCCTGTGATCGGCAAGCCGTGCTACTAGTCCATTGGAGAGCTAGCTAAGCGTTACAGAGGAGACGGTTTTNGCCAGTAGTTTGGAATTCAGGTGCGTGACGCCTGGAGCTGGTCTCTGTTTGTACCATCACACGATGTCGCATTTCCGACGCCGACGTCAGAATCTCAGGTTGTGGTCCAAGAGCGACTGCTGCATCCTTCGTCGTCACGTGATTTCGTGAATATGAACCAATGATCGCGGAAGACCCAGAAAGTAAGCAGATAGATAATCAGGAGCCATTTCGTTAATAGCGAGTTAACATTTAGCTTCGTGAATCTAATAGGTGCATTAAACAAGGAAAATCATGACATTATGATATGAAACAGATGTTTTGAAAATGTGGCACAGTTCAGATATTTGGGAACGACTCTAACAAATCAAAACCTGAATCAGGAGGAAATTAAGAGGAGACTGAACTCGGGTAATGCTTGCTACCACCCAGTCCAGAACATTTTGCTTTCTCGTCTGCTGTCCAAAGACATAAAAATTAGAATATACAAAACTATAATTTTGCCGGTGCTTCTGTATGGGTGTGAAACTTGGTCTGTGACATTAAGGGAGGAACATAGACTGAGGGTGTTTGAGAACAGGGCATTGAGGAGAATATTTGGACTGAAGAGGGATGAAGTAACAGGAAGTTGGAGAAAACTGCATAATGAGGAACTTCATAACTTGTACTCTTCTCCAAGTATAATCAGAATGATCAAGTCAAGGAGGATGAGGTGGGCAGGGTATGTATCATGAATGGGGGAGACGAGAATACATATAGGATATTGGTTGGAAAGCCAGAAGGAAAGAGACCGCAGGGAAGACCAAGGCGTAGGTGGGTGGACAATATTAAAATGGATCTTAGAGAGAGAATGGTATGGTATGGATTGGATTGATGTGGATCAGGATAGGGACCAGTGGAGGGCTCTTGTGAACATGGTAATGAACCTTCGGGTTCCATAAAATGCTGGGAAATTCTTGAGTAGCTGCAGAATTGGCGGCTCCTAAAGAAGGGCTCAGCTCCATTAGTAAGTAAGTATCAGGGACCACTACCGGAGAGGGCCGACCTCGCTGGCAGACAGGGGCTGATAGCGAGCACCAGTACTGGAAGGGCATGGCGACTAGTTAGAATAATTAAGAAGGGGGACGCACAATAGATCAATAAATGGTCGCAGTTCATGGGGTAACCCACCCCCTCCGAATAATAATAATAATAATAAGTAAGTAAGGTACGTGAATGAAACAGTCCACGAAAGTGAACATTTCGGTCCCATATGTAGAGGAAAATTTCTTGGGTAGCTGAGCAACTACCAGCTTCTCAAGAAGGTCTCTTTAAATTCTCTCATTTCCTGCACCCTGTTTTGTGTCTCCAGTGAAGTGACCTCCGTTTCCTCGCTCGGAGTGTACTAGCCATGTCTTTCTGTTGCAGGTGGAACCCCTTGCAGCCACAATGCTTCTCCTTGCTGTGGGCTTTGTTCCTAGTCTTCTGCAGTGTCCTGCACACAGCCCGCACCCGTGAGTACCTGCTTCATCATTAAACGTTGTAATTACTAGTGCCCCTGGGGCGGTGTACCGCGAACCATCTGCCACTCATGCCCAGAGTTCGGGGTCACCGCTCATTGTGCTGTGCTGCTGGGAAGGTCAGCCTTCATCCTCACTTTGTGTAGCAACTCTGCGCGTTTCTGATCTTGTTGAAATGCGCGCGAGATGTCTGCGAAGGACACGGACTGAGGATATCTGAGAAGATAACAGAGCGACTGAATTAATACTTAATGATAAGGGGGCAATGAAATGGATGGGACATGTGGCACACATGAAGGAATACAGATTTGTGGCCGAAACCAGCAATAGAGACGACCCCGCACTCTGTAGACAGAGGAACTAGGGTCTTAGAGAATAAATTGTCTATCTGCAGGCTGGATTCAGAGTTTCGACGGTGGGTTGTAAAGACAGACTTGTGTGTGGAAGGCGATGGACCTTCGGGAAGTTCTTGACAGCTGAATAACTTCCCAGTGTTTCTTTGCAAGGACGATTTTGCATCTGGGAGCAGACTTGTTCGGTATTTCTTTTATTGCTAGTGGGGTGGGGCTAAGTCTCTTGTACTGCGGCCACTTCTGGTCTATTGTACGAGCCCCAGATGATAGGTGAGGGTGATTGTGGAGCAGCTGGTGGAATGAGAATTGGCATGAGAAACCGAAGTACCCGGAGAGAAGCTGTCCCACTGCCACTCTGTCCACCACAAATCCCACATGACCTGACGTGAGCTCGAACCCGGGTCGCCGCTTTGAGAATTCAACCCTAACCACGTGAGCTATGGCACGGCATAGCAGATGGTTAGGTGGTAGTTGTGTCTGGAGGCTACTGCACAGCACTGGATTTCGCGACTATTAACATAGTGACATAACTCGAGAGGGGCTCGAAAATTAAACTTTATATTTACTCATATTTCAGAAGAGCCGCACTTTCCCCCGCTTCAAATCTGGTGAGGACCAACCGTGGTAGAGCCCTCTGGAATTGAGTAATTTTATGTCTCCACAACATATATAATTGTTATGCTGCCATGACTCAATCGCCAACACCTCGTTCTTCGTAAGAGCAAAGTATATCGCGTTCAAGTGAAATCAACATTACAGTAGCGCTAGAGATATAGTAGTGTAGTTACTTCACTGCACTTATGTAGAGGTATGACGTAGGTATTGTTGAACCGGATAAAATAGCGTACCATACTGTGGTACTGTGGTCTAGTGGTCAGAGTTCCTGGCTACAGATCCAGAGGTCCCGGGTTCCATTCCCGGCGCTACCAGACTTTTGAGAAGTAGTGGGTCTGGTACGGTGTCCACTCAGCCTCGTAGGATAATTGAGGAGTTATTTCAAGAAAATAGCGGCTCCGGTCTAGAAAATCGAGATTAACGGCCGTGGGGAACCGTTGCGCTGACCACGTGACCCCTTCTATCCGCAAAAGTTGGCACTAACTTCGCCGACAAGCGGCGGTCGTTCGGTCGGTATAGTTCGCTTGCGGACTACAGGCCACGGAGTTTTTTGTTTGTTTTTACTGTGAAAACGGTTTCAAATTCGCATCATTATTTTGGTATTCATAATCAAATCAAATCAAATCATGGACTTACCCTTCCAGCATCCTGTGTTATACATAAAGTCCGCTGCAACATGTGGAGCGCTGTGAATAAAATGGTTCCGTGTGTATCGGGCTGGGCATTGCGACAGCCAACACAAGAACACTTACCGAACAGTAGTGGGAAGTTGTCGGTCGAATGACTGGGCTGGTTCCAGTGTATGTAACAATTACTTTCGGGAGACGCCCTGTCTTACTGAACATGCCGCCTATCTGTCTTTTAATTACTTGCGTCTTATCAGAGATGTCTCTCTCAACAGGCAGTTTATCGTCGTACGGTGGCAGGTCCTTAACTCGTCCATGTGAGGTCTCGTCTGGAATAGCTGCGCTGATTTATTGCGGTGTCCCCCACTCATCTCTTTAGAACGTGAGGCACCCTTATAGGGTCTCAACTGTGATTTCCTTCAGGGTTACTGTTTACTTTTGACTTTGTCCATCGTCTTGTATAAGCGGCCTCCGTAGTCGAGGGGTAACGTTCCCATCTCATGACTCAAGGTACGCGGTTTCAAACCCGGCGAAGGTGGAATTTTTTAAGGGCGGAAAAAATCAGGGAAGAAGTCCTCCGGGAGGGACTTTAAGCCGTGGGTCCCGTATCGTAGATTTACGGCACGTAAAAGATCCTCATGTCTCTAGGAGACCTCTGAGCAAAATTAGGCAAGTTTCCCGCCCAAGTAGTTTCCAGTGCCTCTGGTAGATAGGGGAAGTATCGAGGTACCGAGGCCCTACCTCGTTGGCTAAACGGGGCTGATAGTACACACCAGTACCGGTAGGGTATGGCGACTGGTAGAATATCAAAGTGTGACGTACAATAGACTATTAGTCGCGGTGCATGGGGAAACCCACCCCCTCCAATAATAATAATAATCGTCTTGTATTCCAATCACTCACCTGAGGAAGGAAATAGAACCAGTTTCCGAAACTGTTTTTTTTTATAGAATACCAGGCGATGGACAAAGCCCAAAAATCCAGTAACTGTTAACGTTATACATCATCGTCAAAACCCATTATAATCTATCAGTAATTTCCTTGCGTAAAACCTCCATAAATGTTGCACATTCGTTGAAAATAAAATCTCGTAAATACATGATGATGACGTAACGATTTACGTCATTATCTGATGAGGAACAAACTCGGGCATTCATCACGTAAACCCGTGATGATGGAACCCCTTAAACTTCTGTTGCTAATTGGGCCCCAGGAAGCCTCATTTTGTATGTCTTATTCAAATAAAACAACTAATGTGCTACATATGGACTTTAAAGTTATGTAAATTGTGTTGTGGTGTTGTCACGGATGCAAATTGCAGAGGAGGGAGGACATGAAACGCTGTATCGTGTAGACACACCACGCAAGAGGAAAGTTTAGTTTCCAGTTCCTTGAACTGAACCACACGATCCAAGCGTTTCGTCACTGCAGCGCTCTCACCGTGGACTCCTGTTGCTTGCAGCCTCTGCAGCACGAAAAATGCCCACCTTTCGTAGTCACGTCCAAACATGTCTTTTGTTCCTCGAACATCCTTCCGTAGCTTCGTAATGAGTGCCGTACCTCGCTGCAGTTTGACAAAAGCCGTAATTTGGCACTGTAAACTGTAGGAGTACATGTTTGGCATCCTCATTCGTCAAAACAATTTTCAACGAATTGCAATGAAATCCAGTTCCGTAACAATGGAAGAAGGGCACAGAGCTCACTGGTTACCATATGTACCACCTACTTTGACATTAAATACTCTAGCACATTACAAACTGAATGCTTTAATGTGCTTCCTAAGATTCTCGGACTTAACAACACAAACCACTGCAATTCTGACGCAGTGTGTTTTCTACGTGGTGGGAACTGAATTTCTCATATCATTTCTGTTCAGTTTTTAAGTTTCAGTTTCCAGATTAGTTTCGTATACCACTTAAGTTTCTCCACTAGAAATGTTGGATGATTTTGGAAGTGTAAGATCTTAGGTTCTCACGCGGCTGATTATGAAGATTTCTCTTTTCTGGGAAATAACGCCGCCGTCTACTTCGTTGAAAGTCAACCGACGTTTCGGTTCACTTCCGGTGTACTACATGGCGTTATATCCGAAAAGATACGGCTCGTCGATTTTGAAACTGATTTATAACTTCGCAATGCTGTTGGAAGCCAATGTTGTTTTAACTGCGCAGTGTAAGTTCAGCCAAGTTGCTAATAGAGAATGGTTGCTGCAGAATCGCCTTCCGCAGTCGCTATATATATCTCTGGTGAGAAAATTAGTGCTGTATGAACCTGAAGGTCTATGATCATTTTCACAGAAAACAGCTACTGGGTCCTATCCAAAAGTTTTACCCACACCAGTTCATGTTTTATTACGAAGTCTCCGAAATTTTCTCTCATCTTGAGGGCTTCCAACCAAAACGGGTGTATTGTATTCCCATTGTGCTGCATGTCCCTTCCGGTTCCAAGTATAAGTATACAGAGTGATTCTAAATTATTGTCGGCGTTTCGGACAATAATTTAGAATCACAAAAATTGCAAAGAACAATCTGCGTGCTACTACATGTATGTACTATATCAGGAATGGATAATCGTTGGCAATGATACTGTACTTAGCACCATACGAGACTTCTGCTGGTACCAGTGGTTGCAGGTTCTGTCCACCTTTACTTCCTTCAGCCACTTAACAGTAAAATGTTATTCTAAATTATTGTCGGAAACGCCAACAATAATTTAGAATGACTCTGTATTAAGTGACGAGGGGGGGCCGCGCCATAGCTCAAGCGGATAGTCGCTGGCTTCCCACCGCGGCGGCCCGGGTTCGAGCCTAGGTCTGGTCAAGTGGGATTTGTGGTGGACAAAGTGGCGCTGGGGCAGGTTTTCTCCGAGTACTTGGGTTTCCCCTGCCAATCTTCATTCCACCAGTTGCAACACAATCACCCTCACCTATCATCTGGGGCTGGTACAACAGGCCAGAAGTGGCCGCAGTACAAGGGACTTAGTGCCACCCCACTAGCAATAAAGAAAGTGACGAGGGGTATACATTTTGAAGGTCCGCAGTATGTCATTTTCTGTATTCTCATGAATCTTGCTGTATCAGAAATAATATTTCGCTAATTCTTGAGCCATACATGCTTCAAGCGCCAGCAGTCTGAAGAGATTTAAGCTCCCGGCGAAATGTTCTTCCTCTGTACATAAATTTAATAAAATGCATTTCGTTAGGTGTGAAATAATGATGATAATACCTCGGTAATTAGTACATTGCAAGTTAAAAACTGCCCCCCTGTACCCCGCACCAAATGTTACGGCTTTGGGATGAGAGTGGAGGGATTATATCTGTAGGCAGAATAGTTTTGGGCACGTCCCTCCGTTATCAGTTACTGAAAGTTGGGACCAGCACGCCGAAACAATTGATGCGGGGTACGACACCAGAACCCCGAGGTTGAGAACCCACACTTGTGTTCTCTCCCGTGCAGAAAGTGGGTATATTTCCTTCTACACCGACGACGATCTCGAAGGAGACGAAGCAGATGTCCAGCAGAACGGTACGCCAGAACCCTGTCTCTTTAAGCTGGGGCCACACGAGCGCACAAAGTACGTCCGTTGCAACGAACGTACTTCATGACGGACGTTGCTGAGGACACCACACAGTTGCAGAACGCCGTGCGTAGTTTTTTGGTCTGCAATGGAGCCAGAAGAAAGCGTAGCATTCGCCTCTCTTGTTTATTTCTACAATGGACGTCACGACGTTCGTTACAACGGTCGCATTTTGTGCGCTCGTGTGGCCCCAGCCAAGCTGCATGCCATGTATGTAGTGTGAGCACTAACCGTACTATAGGAGATTGCCGACGTTTCGGAGATCTTGGTCTTGAAGAGTCCTTAAAAGAATTGGCATCAGCTTTCAGTATTAAATGGAACACAATTTCAAAGCCAGCTTGGCGCTAGGTGATCATAAACGCGCCAGCTTCACGATCCGGCCACTTTACAAATTAAGAAAAAATTCCCTTGGTCTATTCAGTGGTTAAATTTGAGAAAATTTCAATACGTCATCACTTCTGTCGTCATCCATACTGCGTGTCAAACGACGCCCTTCTGCTGACACCGGTATCAACTGCTCATTGTAATCCCCGCAGTGTTCGTTCGGCCCATTAGTGGAGTCGGCCGCAGTAGGGACCGTTCGAAAAGTGCGCATTCAGCGCTCATCATTCAAAAATATGTTGAATTCTATAATCAAAAAAGCTTTAGACAGTAGTCTCCGAAACGTCAGCGCAATGACGCAAAACACGGAAAGACAGATACAAGTTTGAAAAAATTGTTCACAGAAGCCAAACATAGAACAGTCTGAGAAGTACATTTGTTTACCTTTAATTTTTGCAAGCCTGTTGACATCCATTCATTAAGGCTCTGTGCCCTAATTGGAACACACGTATTCGGAAATTTCTTAAATTCCACTAAATAATGTCGTGGGAGGTGGTTTGAATATCTTGGCAACCTTGAGAAAATAGACTGCTGTGTTTCGAGCACTCCGACAACTGTCATTATGCAGTCTGCTATATTTTAATCAAATTGAGTTTGCTTTACACAACTGATAGCATTTCTTTGGTGGCTTGTTTGCTTCATTATTGGGCCCACATACAGCAGGTATCTCTGTTATGTACTGGGACTGGCGGGGCACGCGGTTGCATAGTTGGTTGAGGTCGCGGGTTCAAGTCCCGATGAGGTCATTGGATTTTTTTTCAATTGACCTAATCCTTCCGGCCGCACTATGGCCCTGGGGTCGACGCAGTCTCTAACAGAAATGAGTACCAGGAATTAATTAAATAATTTTCCTGGGGAGTAAAGCGCGGCCGGCGCGTAAGGCTGACAACCTTACCGCCATCTTTGAGCCGATTGTCTAGATAATGTGGGACCCTCAACGTCTCACAACCCTACGGGCCTTCAAGGCCTGGTACAGGGATAGCTTTACTTTTTACATTTTTTACTGGGACTGGCATGAGAACTGCAAGTAGCGACGCGAGTCATGCAGAATAGCGTCTGTGTGTGTCTGTCGTGTCGCAGTTGCAGTTTATGCTGATTAGCTGCGCTCTTTGCGCAAAGCAGATAAGCTGAAGGCTGTTGGGAAGGGCCTGTCCTTCCTCATATCTCAGCTCACGAAGCAAGTTACGGTTTTGATGAAATTTGATATTAAGATCTGCATTAGTAGTGCTGAATTTTCTTTGTTCCTATTGGCCCAAAGTGCCTCCGATGCTGTAGCCGGTTTCAGTCAGATTTCTGAAAAACAGTCACACAGAATACACACACCTCATACCTGCATGTGATTTATGTTTAAAGTAAAGTCCGTGTGCTTAATTAAGCATTATTCATGAGGGCATATGTAGGAGTGGAAGTATGGCTCCACCATTCTTGACCTCATCTCTAGCTTAAAGCCCCGGGGAAATAGTCCCCGATACCCATTGGTCTTTGGGCGGAGTGCGTCCCAGAGCCGGTCTGGACGACGTGGAGGAGAGAAAAATCTTTCCCTTTCTGGGAATCGAACCCCGGCAGTGTAGTCCTCAGCCCATCGCTATCCCGACTCCTTATGGCATATGTTAAGCCATATAAACTTGCAAGGGAACATGAGCACAGAAAGACTAACGAGAGTTATCGTCAGATAAAAGAATAAGTCAAGAAAGAAGAAGGCGGCAACATCTAGAATCTCTTCGACCCCGAAAATGGAGGCAGCACTTCCCTCCGAAACGTTGGCAGACTTCTATCAGACTACACTACACTGATACTACGTCTCAGAATATGATACTCTTCATGAGGTGTTCGGGCTTCTCGGCGGTGAGGATTTTAATTATGTCTCTTTGTAAACTCAAATTTGGTTACAGCCTACCGCCCATAAGGATGTGTGTGGCCATGAACCCTAATGCTACCTCTTAAATATAGTTATGTAACGTATTGTTCTATTCAGTAGTATTTATTTCCACTGTCCCAAAAATGTCAGATATAGCTTCAGAGATTCGCACCGTCGCCATATTTGTAATATATTGTCACGTGTATGGGTGACTAGAGAATAGGTTTGGAATGGTAATTGGATTTATTGACTACTTACGGATCATAACAATAATTAACAATAACATTCTCACTGGCTTATATGCTGTACAAATCAATACCGAAAGCGCAATATTTTTACTGATCGTTGCTTGGTAACGGCTTCGTTCCACGCTTACTAGGATTTATGGACCACTTAAGGATCGTAACTAAAGTGACTGCAACATTCTTACTGAATTGCACACTCGAAATATAACTGTAAGTACAACACATATAGAGTCTTCTCAGTCTTCACTAGTCGTTTCCTGGTAACAGATTTTAATACTGTCCTTACTGTCTGGCAGATATCCCGCAACTGAACTAAGCTCTAAACTTGTCCCAGTCATAATCCTTCGTGACGGACTACGTAGAAAGCACAGCTCTTCTGATGTTGTAGAAGCGTGATTACCGTGTCGTTGCGTAGCAACAGTCGCGGTGTGGACCACAGAAAACACCGCTTCCAACAGTTCCTCTGTTGCCGCGTGTTGATTCGTTGCCTTAGGGACTTTTTTGTTTGTGATTGTTACCTAGTAACGGGTCTGCACGCTGCAATATATTGCATGCGCTTAAATATGTTTCAATCTAAATTTGCGTGTTTGTAATCACACTCCATACCAAACTTCGTACAGCTAGCTGCAGTAGTTACTTACAGCACATACACAGTCCACTTCTTGCCGTTCTGGATTCTGCAGAGGAACTGCCTCAGTGACAGGCACACACTCGTCAAAGATTTGTCGCAGTACAAAACATTGGAGTCCATATTTATTTCTAAATTATTATACAGCTACTACCACGTGAGCCCGGTTATCGATTGTAGAGAATTAAAAGTGCGAACATTAGACGATATCCACTGCCGTAACGTTTCTGCATAGTTTCATGAAAATTCAACTGTCAGAAGGCCCATGAAGAAGATATCAAAAAGCTGGTAGATTGTTAGTAGTAACGTATTGGCTGTGGTAGCGCGGTTGGTTCAGGCACTGTGCTACAAGCCTGAAGGTCGCGGCTTAGCTCCCGATGAGATCAATGGATTTTTCAATTTACCTAACCCTTCCAGCCGCATCATGTCCCTGGTGTAGGCTCAGCCTCTAACAGAAATGAGTACCAGGAATCTTCCTGGGGGTAAATAGCGGCCGGTGCGTAAGGCTGACAACCTCAACGCCATCTTTGAGCCGATTGTCTAGAAAATGTGGAAGCCTCGACGTCTCACAACCCCACGGACCTCCACTGCCTATTACAGGGATAGCTTTAATTTTACATACACATCAAAATACAGAAGGACACAAAGCTTCAAAGTAAGACGTTATATATAGCTCATTCAATTTATTTTCTTCTTATACACAACCCGCTGACTTATGAAATATTAAAGCTGTGACCATGGGCGCCCTCTGAGTAATGCCGGTAGGATGTATATGCTTCTTTGCTTATTTCAATATTCGAAAACCATTCTGTAGCACAACAAACAAAAAACAAACTCCGTGATTTCAGTCCGCAAGCGAACTATACTGACCGAGCGACCGCCGCTTGTCGGCTAAGTTCGTGTCAACTTTTGGTGATAGAGGGTGTCACGTGGTCAGTGCAACGTATCCCCACGGCCGTTAATTTCGGTTTCCTAGACCAGAGCAGCTATTTCCTTGAAGTGTGGCACGGTAGTGGTCGCCATCAGCACGTTCTCTTGACCCGTGGGTACCATGGGCCGTTGGCGAAGGGTAAAGCTAAACACTCCTCATGAGTCCAAATGCGTCCAGCTGTCCCGCATGTTGTGTAGCGAGACAGCTTTACCTTAAAAGCTGCTAATGATTAATGACCAGTTCGGCAGCAGCAGTAATGTCCAACTGGTCACCTCGGAGCTGTGAGGGAGACTGTCGCAGGGACCAGCCGCGTGCACCCAGAACAGAACTGCACCATCTAGCAGCGGTGGGCCGTCGAGTGCGTTGATTTTAGTGGCAAAATTATGAAACCTCCCCCCCCCCAAGTCCCCCGCCAAGGCCACGGTCACTTGGCCGCCGGACTCAGAAAATTTGGCGCTCCATGACTTCTGCTAGCGGACTTGTCTGGAGTGGATCCTTGCAGCTGTTACGGCTCGTGAACATTACCACGCAGTGACGTTACCAGTTAATCTTCATTCCGGTAATTGTGAAGCACATAATCGCCTCTGTGGTCTAATGGTCACAGCTCCTGGCTACACACCCAGAGGTCCTGGGTTCGATTTCCGACGCTACAAGATTTTCTGTGAAGCAGTGGGTCTGGAACGGGATCCACTCAGCCTCGTGAGGATAATTGAGGGGCTGTTTCAAGGAAATCGCGACTCCGGTCTAGAAAACCTAAATTAACGGTCATGGAGATTCGTTGCGCTGACCACGCTACGCCCTCTATCCACTAAAGTTGCCATTAACTTTGCCGAAAGCAACGGTCGCTCGATCGGTATAATTCGCTTGCGGGCTGAAACCACGGAGTTTTTTCTATTTGTGAAGTA